TTCAGATTTATATACGTTTCTTCATTCTACGGGCCGGGCTGTGTCTAACTTGAATTCTTTATTCCCGTCGAAAAACCTCTTTTTGACAGCGACTCTCGTCGACGTCATTTCTTATTCCTCCCGACACTTGTCTCCGAATCTTCAAGCTCTTCCTTTTGCGCACGTAGCCACATCGCCAACCACCTTCGAATTAGGCCTTATGCCGTTTCCGGCACGAGACGTCGGACGACTTCCGTTTTATTTATAGTCAGGATTTCGTAAAATGGTTCATTTTTTTTTTCTTTCCTTTGACACACATATAATAAAATGTGTATATATATATTTTGTCTATGTATATAGGTTCATGGAAATTTGGTCTTTTATACGATCTACCGACCCCGCATTCTACCTAACGATTCGGTATACGAGAATACAGAAAGTTCTTCGTCGTCAGACATTAAGCAACGGACGTAAATGTTCCTATAGTTGGATAACCCGAGTTGATCGTTAACCTCGAGAACTGCTGCTCCTGCAACGGCGGTCTCTAGGCTGGGCATGATTTTATCCGAAACTTTTCACGACAATTTTCACAAATTGACCTTACGAGCTAATCCGGCTGTAAACTTTGCGCGATGAACGCGAGTGGAATGACTTTTGAGGTTTTTATTTATTTTTATTTTTTTTTCATTTTTTTGACTACTTCACCTTCACAGATCTGGGTAAACTGTCGCAGAGCTCGTCTTCGCATTCCTTCGTACAGCGAGGACTTCATTGCCCTCAGCAAGGGGGTTGGCTAAGTGTCTTATTGTGCCAAGCGACTGTGGCTTCAGCTATGACGTTTTTCCCAGAGGAGTCGAAGGGCGAAGGTTAAAGGGTAGAAAATAAATGGCTGATCCGAGGGGCCTGGCTATGGGGGGGTCACAGCAGGAGGAGGTAACCGGGGGAACGGAAGTGGCCTCTGGACACGTGTATGTAGTGGGCATAGACGAAAACGTTTGTTTTGGCGAATCATCCCTCTTCGAGGATTGATATCATCCCCTTTCTCCTACTACCCTCCCTCACGAAGACCGTTCAACCCCTCGTTCATCGAAATAGCGCGAAATTGGAAAACCCATGAAAACTAACCGGAAACCCTTGTAGAGAATGTTTTTGTTTTTCCCTTCCAAAAGAAATCCTTCAGCTGTATCAGCTAGGAAATGCTTCTTGCTGCTTTCTTTTTCACCCTTGAAACGTAAATCAAGGTACTTCGCGAAATACCCCAAGCCTCCTGCCCTTCACGTATCATCCCTTATCGCCCTGCTCTCCCCCGGGACTCATAACGTTGTTTTTTTGGCTGATAGGCAAATCCGGATTGCTGCCATTTTTCTCACTTTTCATTTATCTCTGGCGTATCTTTTTCTTTGTCATATTTTTATATCTCGGCGCCGTTGTCATTCGCTTGATTTTTTCAATCACGTTCGTAATTTTATCAACGGCGAAAGATCGTATTAATATGACCTCTGGGTTACGTATTATAACGTGCTAGCATACGTAGCATACACCTGTCAATGTTTGACAGCTGTCACGATATCGCTTGGATTTTCAAAAAAATTTCCAAAATCTCTCTCGAGAAGCACTACTGATAAAAATATTATCGAATCGTCCCGAGATATCGGGTCGAAAGAGTAGTATATAATATTTAGTATACGCAAAAGAATTACTCGTCGCTATGCTCGTCTCTCTCTCACGCATAGGAACGCCCATAAGTCCGTCTCTCTCGCACTCACGGCAAGTATAGGAAAATGAAAAATATCAGATTTCAGAGACGGGTGGACAATTTTATTATCAGTAAACACGTGGCTCTCGTCTAGAAAGGCAATGTCGTCAGTTTCTCCCTTATCAAAATTATTACGCGGCACGCATATCCTTTTTTTACTAGTTTTTTTTTTTTTTTTTTTTTTTTTTTTTTTTTTTTTTTTTTTTTTTTTTTTTTTTTTTTTTTTTTTTTCAAAAATTTCCAGTCACCCGATTCGAAACTCACAATCAACTTGTTCGATCTATGCCAACTACTCGCATGTGATATAGACGTTACTTCAAATTTCATTGGTGCATTATTACTCTGCGGTGGTATCCCCACTCGTTCACGTACGTGTATTGGTCCATTTCGCGGGCAGGAACGACCGTGACGTTTAACCGTCTACACGCCATTAGCCCCAGCGGGCTCTTCCATACACTATTCCTGGACATAACTATTGCTTCATAATGATCCAGTAATACCCACCATAATTTTGGAAGCCAGATTACGCCCTTTCGTCGCTCAACTATCCCTCCTCGTATTATGCTAATCCGCTTGATACGAAGTCCTCGCTAATTGGGACACTCGTTCCATTCATTTCAAAGCCGACTGGATTTGAAATCGTATCGGTATAATCAGAAGCGTGAGGATCGTATGAGGATATATATATATTTTTTCAAACGCCCTTCAAGAATGAATTTCACCCCGTGAAAAATTTTTCTTTATCCCTTAGCACAAATTACGACACGCGCATATGTGCAACGGTGAATTTGCCGACAGGGGGTGGGGCCCAGGGCTTGGAAGTTCAGGATAGTAGGAAGAGAAACTATTCCAGGGGCGGCGGGTTACGTGTGCAACCACCTCCTGGGAATGCACCGAATACCGCAGTGCGCTGTATTTATTCGTTTTAATTTTATTTCTCAGAGCTCTCTGACCTTTGCCGCGTTAATCACGATTAAATAGGGGCTCTACGCGCGGCGCCCCTTTTGCTCTCTTTGTCGATCCACCGTGCTACGCCCCTTATACGACTGCCGGGACGACTACGACGTGGCTCAGAGGGGGAGCAAAAAAAAGAAGGTCTAGAACTTTGAGGCTTCCGAGATAAACGATTACACGCGACTGCTGCAATTCTTCAGCAGTTCCCGTTAACCTCGTACGCAACTCTTGCGGCTCTCTGGATGACCTCGGCGTTGACCAATTTTTTGTAACCTTTTCTTTTTTCGTAACTTTTCTTAGACCCTAGAATATTCATGTTTGTAAGGCCAATCGTCCTGTCAATGATTACTTCGAGACACCCTTATCTAATGCGTGTACCGTGTAACCTGCAGTCGCGGGCATTCTTATGTATTTATTTTTTTGTAAAAAAATTAATGCCGGAGAAATCGAGTCGCGGAGATTAACGATCACCTTTTTTTTTGCATGTTTGTTTTTTTAATATCCACCCTCCCTCTCGAAATTTTTCTTTGCCGGTTTCCTTGTTTGTTTTTTTCTTTCTTACATACCCTCGCTTTCATCCCTCCTCCTGTCCCCTCGCCCGCTATCATCTTCCCTCTCTCGACAATTCCATGACAGCCCAACCCCGTGTCCAACCTTCGCCCCTGGCGTTTATCATTATTTTTACCCGGCAGCCAGTTATAAATGACCCATCAGCACGGCTCTTGTATAAATATTGACTGCACGAATAAATTGTTTTTTTCTTCTCTCTCTCTCTCCGTCTTCCAAATCCGCGGGAAACAATGTGGGGTAACGTCCACGCGGCAGATTCCAGCCCCCTTAGGCTTATCGGCCCACGCTCACCTTGGAAACCCTACGATTTGATGCCAGTATCTCTTAACCATCCTTCGAACCAGCGCATAGCCGACATCCAGCCCTCCCTGATGGTTCTCCCTTAGGGCAAGTGATGAATGTCTTTATTCGGCTAGTGTGTTGGTTTCTACATGTTCCAATTACACCTGGCCCCGCGGGGGATTGAATTATTCTCTAAGTTTCAGGCACGTGCTCCAGTGACGCCTCGCTATCTGTTTACATAGTCCTGATTAATGTATATTAATGTCCTTTGGGATTGAGTTTATTTTGCTTCAAAATTAATTTCAGTTTTCCATTTACTAAAAAAGTCATGTCACGGTATATTATCGAATCGTATCCAATGACTGTCGTTGCTTTCTCGCGATGACGATTAGCCCGATGTGTGTGAACTTACTGCTTTTGACAGTTAGGGTTGTCGGCGACGTTTGGCCTCGCAACTCGTCGACAATGCACATTTTTCGATTTATTTTCTATCTTCATCTCGTGGACAATCGTTACAGCTGTTCCGAACTCTGCGTTTCTTTTTACAATTGTAAATTGCTCGTTCGATCAATAGAGAGTGATTTTCTACGATAAATGTGCAATGCGAAGCTGTATTTGTTTTTAAAGGGCTGCTGGGGTTTTTGTCTAGTCCGAACGAAGCGTAAAAAATGTAACTGAAGAAAAAATTTTGAAAAATACACTTTTTTACCCGACTACGATTAAATGACCATATTCCATATCCCTGCGACGCGGGCGGAAGTAATCAATTTTTGACCAGAGGGAAGAAAAGTGATTTTGCGGGCAAAAAAAGTGATTTTTGCGGGAAGATATATGCTCTAAACAGAAAAAATGAGATGTAAATTGCGTTTTACCAAATTAAGGCCATACCCTTTCTTTGTAAACTTTTCAAATATTTTTAATGGATAATTTTTATTATTCCGGTGAATAATTGAATTATTGAATGATTGATCGAATAATTTATTGATAAATATCATTAATCATTTCGGTATCATTTAATTAATTCACGACCTATCAATGATTTGAATAGGTAAATTTTCGACTTCGAGCTACTTAAATAATTTTTTTTTGCAGTAGGGGGGCTCCGCCTCCCGAACCCCCTCGGCGGGGTTTCGCCCCTGCACCACACCTGGGCTCCGCTCTGGACCCGTTTATTAATCTATTATTTGCGACAATATCATATTTGTGCCGTTAGATTCAATACCTTTCATAATCTACACCTATATATTGTAGCGTTGTGCTGTTGCAGGCATAAAAATATGGTTATTTTAAAAATATTCTGTTAAAAAGTATTATATGTCACACGGGACGAGCAGATTTCACCTCTTGCTCCTCGCACTCAGCGAAAATCACGCACTTTCCCCCCTGGTAGCATAATGTACTATTTTAAGTCTTAGCGGTTCAATCGAGTTAACATTCCCGCTTTTTTTTTTGGTTACAGGTAAGAACGTTCAGCAGTGCCATCTATCCGTGAGACATCGAGATAACTTACGTCAATCAGGTATTCACATATGTATACACGTTTCTGGCTATTTTGTCAAAAGCGGTTAGACTCTATGTTCTTTGGCTGTCGGCTATAAATCGACGTAACGCCTGCACCCGCGTCACCCCTCTCGGTCACGACCCTCTGATTAACTTTCTATACCTGCAGGCGAGTATCAAGGGGTTAATTTTTAACCCCCCAGCGTAAGCCAAAAGATTTATCGCAAAACCCGTTACACTAAGCCAAGCCATGTGTATTGCGTATTTATGCCATCCGGTCATGTGCACGGGGCTTAAGTCTACCTAGATACACGGGGTACGTACCTACCGCTGGTAGTTTTATACCAGTAACCACCTAACCCTGTATGCTACAACCCTTTTTCTAGACCCTGCGTAGGACGACTACCCCCTTTCCCTGCCGCTTCCAGCCCGTTGAACCAGAAAATTATTAGCTAATGACCCCAGGGTATATAAAAAAAAAATGGATGACGGTACAGCTCAAGGCCGAACCAACAGAACTGTGGCTGCCATTAGTCAGATTGACTGATTAACGTATGCTGCTAGATCCTAAAGTAGTTGAGTCCTTTGATTAACTCAAGGACCCAGCGATAATAATTTTTACAAATAATTTAAAAAATTTTTTTTTCAAAAACATTCATTCTTGAGAATGATATTTGATTTGATAATTATCTGATATTTGATTTTGATAAATATCCGATTACGTTCATATTAATTCCATACGCGATTTATCTGAGTGTTATTATAAATTTTTGATTATGTTACATATTTTATTCATATCAGTGATTACCTGTAATCGGTGGCATCAATTTTCTGGAATCTTTAATTGAGCTTGTCTATTGACGAATATTAAATCATCAGCTCACATAGGGATTGTCGATTTAACTTTATGGTTCGCATTTTTTCTTTACTTGTCGGTGGATAAACCATAGTTATCTTATGGGTATATAACAATGTATATTACGTAATAATGACCACTCTCGATAATCCTTGTATAATCATTAGGCTTGAGTATATCAAGCGGAGCATCGAGTTGTCTTGAAGTCCGTGTAACTTTTTCAAAATTTTTCTTTGGATTTACACTTTGTTCTTTTTTAGCTCTTTCTTTCCCCCTTACTTTCTGTCCTCTCACGCTCAACTATTACAATTGATATCGATGACCCGCGCTATAGTTTTATCTGTGAACGATTAATCGAAACTCACTTTTCGCATTGATCCTTAGATAGGCGTAAACACACCTTTTTCTCTTACAACTTTCTTTTACGATAACCCATCATCCCCCTTGGATATTGGCAGGTTTTTGGGTGTATTTTTTTATCCTTCCAGTGTCGATCCAAAATTTTAATTATAAATTACGTAATTTTTTTTTTTTTTTTTTAAGTACCACCTGTTGACACCCTGTTTTCTCTCGTGAGATATCTGTGACGTTTTCGCGAAATTATTTATAGGGTTATTCCGTAGTAATGTATCACCCGCAGGTGGTTTCACTACAGGAATCCAATGGACAGGCTAACTTCATATGGCGATATACATATACAATACAGTCGAGGTACGTGCATGGTCATACGTGTACGTATGTTCATGCACTATGTTGTACATACGAGACTCTAGTACGTGCTCGGCAGTGCCTAGAGTGGAAGTGTATGCGTACTGTTTACGTGGGTGTCCGATAAAGGCGAGTCCTCAGCAAAGGAAGACACACTTTGCTGTCGTGAAACTATTTGAAATTCAACGCATCCGACGGTCCCTTTCGTACGGGACGGCTTCCGCCGTTCGCGGAATGGAGACCCATCCTCATACGTCTCTCTGTGATCTCTTTGGTCTCTTCGGTGAGAACTTTTCTTCGTATCTCGTTACCGCTCCTTTCCTACTTCGTACGGCCCGCCGCACATTGTATCTTCTACGAAATCGAAGTGGATACGTACCGACGTAGTAATTAAGTTTATTCGAGCATTAGAATTTTCGCGAAAAGTTTAGGGAAGAAAGTGACTTTACCGACCTCGAAATATCATACGCTCCGGCACGTGGAAATAATTTTATTACGTTGGTCAGCTTGTATTTAATTTTGTGCATTCAACTGAAGTCCGATTAGGCGAACCGAGGTCTGAATACTTTTTTTTTGCGAACATCCAATTAATGTTAACCGTAATTTTTTTTCTTAGGGTTGGCTAATATTTGCATTCCACCCTGCAATCCTAGGAGTCATTTTCTATTCGAACGGTTGGACTTTTATGTGCACTCTCGAAAGTGCCAACCGGACACATTAACGGAGTGGAGGGATAGAGATTTCCGTAAGGGTGGTATAACCCGCTAAGGGGTCGCTATATAAATTAGTCGTTCGTAATGACCGACTAGATATATTTTAACGTTTGTTTTTATTCGATCCGTAGGTGCCCTTTGTACCTTTTTCATTTCTCCCACTTCGTCCCTATTTCCTTTCTCTACCCCTTCCTCTGCTTCCCATGGTCCCCTAACTTCCGGTGAACACAAGCGAAAACCGGATACCCTTTACCGGCCAGTGCAACAGCGTCGACCGCGGAACCCGTGAAAATTCATCTGCCCCGCCCTGTCTCCCTAAACCAGAATTCAGCAATAATAACGAACGACCCACAAATCCCAACCCCTCGATCGAACAACATCCGTTTGGACCAAAACCCTCAGCTGTCGTTCAGCGCGCGTGTGTCCTGTCCCGAGACAGAAAGATCAAACTGCTCGGTAATTTGCATATTGAAAGTTGGAAATAAAAAATTTTCTTTAAATTATGCATTTATTAAAAGTTATAAAAAAATCTTTTTACACCCAACCACCAATTCTCATAACGACGTTCGTTTGTAATTTTTCCTCGTTCACAACTCGCCGCGGTTGAGTGTTCTGTATTAAATTTTTACATATTTTTATTACATATTATATTTTATTATATTTATATTTTTAAAAAATTTTAAAAATTTTCAAAAAATTATTTTTTAAGTCTTTCCTAAGTCATTCCTCATTAGGATTAATTGATCGTTGAATGAAAATTTAATTATTATTTCAAGCAGCTTTCGCGACTCGCTGGGTCTGTGGAATTTTTCTTTATTCTACATTAATCTATACTTCTTTATTCTACATGAGCTTTCGGATTTTTTTTTGTTGACATCCCGTGCCTTTTGTTCGGCTCGCGCGAAACCGTGAACAGTAACAGTCCTTTCTCTTCTCCCTTCGTTCTCTCGATCAACCGGCGCTAATTACCAAACGGGCTAATTACACCGTTCGACTGGCACCGGGCGATCGATTTTTCATTGACGCTCGTCGTAACCTTCTTGGCAACGTGGAGAACTTTTTTTTCTTTTTCTTCTTCCTCTTCACTCAACACGTCTTATCTCCCGTACACACTTGGCACACGTGGATAAACACTCTACGTTGCACCCACTCGCTCCCACGTACCTTCTTACTTCCGGTTCTCTCCCGTGTCTTTGTCATCGATCAGCGACATTACACCCGACTCGATCGCAGAGCACTTCCGGTTCACCTCTGGCTTCTATGTACTGGTTTCAATGGCTGCTGCCACTCGGTGAATTATGTCTCGGTACCTGGTACTTCCTTTACGACGAGTGCGATACGCGTTCGCTCGACAGCCAGGTACATTTCAACTTCTGACGCAATACGTTCGTGTACCGGATTCTATACGACGACCAGTCGGTACAGCGTAAATTTTCAAAGACGCAAAATAGCCGTGTCTCTGGTATTTTCTTTTTCCCCGTCTTCTCATCTCCCCGCCTTAACGACGATTCCCTAGTACGTCGTCGCCTCCCTTCTGTCCTTCCTTCTTGGCGGGTTCGTCGTCGAGCGGGTTTACAATGCACGCGACCCAGGCCAATTTCACGTTACGCTTTATGTCCGCCGTGCGAATCAGACTGTCGGACGTTTCTCCGGTTTCTTTTTGCGAAACGACAGGAAAATTTATCCCACGGGAATTCATTCGCGGCCGCCAAGCCTCCTCGAGGGGGGATACACATCTTCCCTCCACGTTTCCCTACCAATGTCTATCATACGTATGTAAACCCATTTCGTGCTGTCCCGTGAATATCCTAGCCACGCCCACCGCGACCGGATGTTACGTCGCCCGCAAATTTACATGCGAACTTTTCTGGACACGTGACGGCACGGCAATGTTTTTGCCTGCGGGTCGAACGACTCGGACGCTGAACGCTGCGGCTCGCGTCGCTCTCTGCCAATTCTATTTATAGACGCTGGGCTTTGATCGTTGGAACTTTTTTTAACAGCGTTTCGTAAGCTTTGCTCGAATAAGCATTATGGGTATGAGTAATCGCGTAACTGTGAGTCCGGCTTTGAGTCTGGGGTCTTCGTGGACGATTGTGTATTTTGTGGGGTCAATTTTGTATTACTGTCAATCCCGCCTGACGCGCCAAGAGACACGTCGATTGTTTATGGTAACTTTTGAAAAGACCTCTAGTTTGTTTTTATACTCCACTCTTTGACCCTTGCGTCCGGGAGAGAAAGGAAAGTTTGGAAATTTACGTTATCCCTCTTCTGGATGTTGCCAACTTCCGGGAGACATATGGTGCCTTTGAATGCTATACGGGTTTAGATATGGTCTTAGGGGATGAGCTCGGACCATCCTGGACGCGTGCACGTCCTCTATAGGCCTTTCTGACTTTTCTCATCGCTTGGAGGACTTCTATATCAACGAATTGAGGTTAGGTTGCTTTGGCTCGAAAGGGTCCTTGGTATGGATGGGGCTGGAGATGGGGACGGTCGTTCCTTGATATCGTCTGGGGATGCTATCTATATAGTCGGAAAGCACTGGGGGTTGATAATACAAGAAATAATATGAAGAGACGCGGTAGTTTCGTTGCGTATCAGACTTTGTCCCCGAATCGCGTGGACCCTCTCCCATGTATTATGATTTTCTTCAGCGCCGAGGGTGACTTGTTTTACTGGCCGGGGGGAGTTCCGAAATTTTCGTAAACGGCCGTACGATTGTATACAGGGTGGGACGAA